TAGTAATAATAATAATAATTTTGTGATTTATATAATGAAAATGTATAAAATAATAATAATAATGTATTAAGACTATAAAATAATATAATAATAATAATAATTATTATTTTATAGTCTTTTCAATATATAATTATTGTTGTTGTTGTTGCCATTTTATGGTCTTATCAGTATATAATTACAAAATTTTGGGCCAAACAAGCACAGCAAACCTGACACTTTTTTTTATTTATTTATTTTTTACATGAGAAATGCAATATTTATCAGGAAAAAAAGTATTTAAAAAAAAGTATCACCTAAATGTATTTTAGATATTTTGTCTAGTATTAACCTTAAATGTCTTCTGTTTTCGCCATGAAGATAGCCTTGCTGCTGACATGCCGTAAAAATAATCAATCAATCATGTAATTACACCTAACTGGAAAGTTAAATTCATTGTGGGAAGCCTGTATTAAGTGTTTCACTAATTGTGCCGAATGTGGCTCCGCCTCTCTCCCGTGTCATTCCAAACAGTGCATTGTGATTGGCCTGCAGTCCACTGGAGAGGCTCGTACTCGAGAGGTCCTGGATGAGAACGACGGACGCCTGGACCGATTCGTCTCTGCTGCTGAGTGAGTGTCTCAAAGTCCATTTCCCACGGTCTTCTTCAAAGAGGAAAGCCTGAAATCTCCAGCAAATCACAGATAGACTAATCAGAATCAACTATTATATAATAGTCAATATAGAAAGGATGAATAGATCTGTGGTTATGAGTCAATGTAGTTGAACTGGGTTGAGATTTGTGGGTTTTTGTCCTGTAGGGGGGTTTTCCACTCATTAGTTCAGAAACACTTCCCAACACAGAAACCTAAAAGAGAGAAAAGCGCCGCAAGCAAGAGGAAACGTGAGTCGCATCAGCTTTTCCTTTGAGGATCATGCATTATTGTGTTTGTGGTCTTTCTGAAACCGTTTCTTTGTTTTCTGAAGGAAAACCCAGAGGCCGGGCTACAAAATTTCCAAAGCACCGTGTGGAAGTGGGCGGGGTTATTAAAATCAGCGATGATTCAGACTCCGACTCGGATGAGATCGACAGCGACTCTAACTCCTCCCCTGAATCGCTACAGGACAATGACGATGTGATTTTCTTGAACCACATCAACGGGCCTGCTGGTAGGTTGTCTTAAATGCAACATAGTAGGGCGGCACAATTAATCGAAATTAAATCGCAAAGGCGATAAATCGTGATTAGGCAGAA